AAGTAGTTGCAAAACTTAGTGAACAACCTAATATTATGAATTAAGTTTACGACGTATAATAACACAAGGACCTTCTGGAGAAGATGCAGCTCGATGAACGAACGCGCAAAGTTATAAATTGACATACCAATCGTGCTACAGCTTTGTGATGCTTTTGTACCCTTTAAGGAACTGAACGTAAGTCGTGCTTTTTATTCGCTATTTTTTGAACCAACAAGTTACGCAACACCTACCAACTAGTTTTTAATATTCATGTAAACAATGAAATCATATGCAAATGTGTAGACAACTTTCAGCAATATATCATTCCACAACAACAGACCATCATAGGCATAGGTGGCGGTGGAGGGGGAGGTGGAGGTGGAGGCGGAGGTGGTGGAGGAGGTGGCATCATTGGCATCATCGGAAGACAAGGCGGCATACATGATGGTACCACGTATTCGATAACCGTCGTAGTCATGCAACCACTACCGACACATCGGCGTTGCCTGGATAAACGTCTTTGGCAAGCTATCATAGACCAAAATGCGAATTGCAACTTTTTATCACAAATCTTTTTTCCTTTTTGAATGCAAACATGAGTTACGAGTTTTAGACAGACAAGATTGTGTTGTCACGTCTCATAAGTTTCATGTATGTATACGTACAATGCAAAAGTGTGGACTAACATTGAACATAATTTATGAGGCGGAAACCAAAAAAGAAGAAATCGCAACTTTTCTCCAATAAAGTATACCCAAACAAAAAGTAAATCTTTGTGCCGTTTCTGACATACACGTTCACTTCTACACATTGAATTCGAAAGCTGAGCACTTTTTTTCTAACGATATTTACAGCTTTGCGTCTGGTGTGACTAGAAGCTTTCGAGAAAATTATTGACAGCTGATTAATCACAACCGCATGTAGAAAGAAAAGCAGCAAGATGGCAATGAGTAGTCCTCGCTTTTTTCAAATGAGCTTACAACCCACATATCAGTGAACCCTGGGAGATCTTGGTTGCATTCCATAAACTTTTCATTCTCCTTCAAACATTTCGTTTCAGTACAACTAACGATTTCTTGAAAATAATCAGAAGCTAAGACCCATGGTTTTACCGTTACCAATTGTTTTTTCTGAATCTTCATATTGACCCGAAGAGCCGAGTAGATAGACCAAGCCTCAAGAGATACAAAACAACTTGTTTCTTGTGATATCCTTTGTTGATAATCAAAATCACGATTTAGCGCGCTTGCCTTAGACACAAAAGCCAATAAATCTTCGGGATTAGAAATTTTCAAATGACGATTATAATTCAGCAGCAGTTCAAGAAAGCAAAAAAGCGCTTATGGATACAAAACATCAAATCTGGATTTTTTGTAAAGCTTGGAACGCTTTGTTTTTGGCGAAAGACCAAAATCAGCAACAAAAGCACGAATTACAATAAGGAGAAAAAGCGCATCAACAGCCTGAGTTTCATGCGGCTTGAGTGGAACACGTATTTGATAGCATCAAATAAAAATGCACTACAAAAAATTATGACGAGATGTGAAAAAAGGGAAAGACTGCAAATAAAGTGTTTCTTTAAAAACCTGTAACGGCTTAAACAAAGTTGAAGAAGGAAAAGACTGTTTTGCATCTTATACACTTTGCTCTGTCTAGTCATCATTCGACACATTGATGAAAAAACGCGCCTAAAACTTCACTTCTAATGTCAAAATCGTTTTGATTTGTATTTATACGAACAATTTAGGTCTAAAAGTTTTTTGTGTTGGCTTCGCCCCTCTGACGAACTCTGTCCACTCCGTTGCCTTTTACGAGGAACGCTTTTGCGCTCAAAGCGCCCGTAGTCCTTGCTATTTTCGGAAATCTTGGCTGCACTGCATTGCAGCCGTAATCTGAAAGAGAATGGAAAGTGGTATTCTGTACACAACCAAGTTCTTCCAGTAATCCTTTTGATCTGCGGAATATCTGCTTGAAAAAAGGCAATTCACTTTTCAAACGACCTGATATCAAAAACAATAAGCT